AGCATCAACCGTCAAGGTCTAGTGCACCCCAAAGAGTGTGCCGGTGTCCTCGTCTCCTTGGAGACGTCTACAGTACCAGCAATTGCCAAGGTAGCAGCCGATACTCACAGGATGCTTCATCAACAGTACGAATCTATGTTCGAAAGAGAATACATGCGTGCTGTCCAGGAAGCATTTTACTACCAGCGCGATGTTGTGGGAGATCCGAGTGGCGCCTTGAGCCGCCCATACATCGCCAAACTAGCACCGCTTTTTGATATTATCAAGATCAGCAACAGCCGCTACCAGAGGAAGTTCTTGTCCAATCTTTGCTCCAAGGTGGATTTCGAACTCAAAAAGCTCAAGGTCACCGGCGACCCGCCCGAACACCTTTTGCTCGCCCGGTTTGTGGCGCAAAATCTCGCGTTCTTGGATTATGGCCAACTTGTGGAACTCGTGCCGACTATCGGTTGTATGGAACGCATTGTGTCTGCAACGGGAACCGTTGTGGCTCACTCAATTGAGACGGAAATCTTCGTTTCGAAGCCTGAGACGTCGGCCGAAGGTGGGGCAGCGACGACTATGTCCGCGGCGCAGGGTCTAGGAGACATGGCTCCAAAACCAGAGGTCAACCCAGAGACCCTGCGGCTTCTGGCCACGGCTGCCGCATCCCTCGCCATGCTTTGGGAAGCCCGAACATATCTTCGCCGTCTCTACGGAGTTACAGCACATGTCCGTGACAAGGAAGCTAAAGCCGGGTCCAAAGAGCTCAACAAGTCAGCCACCAAGGTGCATGGAATTACCGGCGACAAATTCTGGGACGCGATCGCACGGAACATGAACTCTCTGAGTAGCGAGGAGGCTATGATCGAGAAGTGCCGAGAATTTGCAACCTTACTCGCGATTGACGACGAGTTTAAGGTGGGAGACAACGAAGATGCCGAGGGAGAAGAAGTCACGGACATGGATGATCAGGGAGCTGCATGGGCTTCCACGGGTGTGCAGAGACCCGCGAAGAGAAAGAATTCGACGTCCGGCCACAGTCCGGTGAAACGTCCGCGCGGGCGAAAGAGCGGTTCGGGGAAGAAACGAGCCAGCACTGAACCGGGAGAAGAACAAGAATGGCATTGAACATCAACAAACGAAGCCGAAGGCCCGTTGATCGGGTCGGTTTTGATGGAGGAAGTGTAACTGGGCTGTTTAATAGTCGAAAGGTTGCATGCATATGGGACCCGGACCGGCGTTAATGGGGAGGAGACTTTGCTTTGGCTTGGTAACTGAGCGCTACTGATGAACTTTCATACTTATTCCCATATTCCTAAACCAGAGAGGAGCATGCTTACTGGTTTCTTTTGTTGTTATCTATACATGAGTACTACTATCTTCATTGAATCTCGGAAGGGTGGGTTACCTCCACATTTCTTGGGTCGATGGTTTCTAGCTTGCGGTGGAGGAGGTTGGACTGCCGAGATATAGATAGATTACTTTTAGCTCGTGCTATCAACATGTTCAAGAGCTACTTGCAACTGTTGGTGAAGATTAGTTTGTAGTGAGTGCGCTTTAGACTAGCACCTGCTATTCAAGTTCTTCCATGAATCCATAGTGCTCGCTCATACTGAGTGGATGCCAAGCCGGGCCCTGCAGGCCGAGTGGGCCTCAGTCCTTCCAGTTAGCGGGCTTGGCTCCCAATGACGTCGCCTGCCACTCACTCACTCCCTCCGATTTTCGCGTGTCTCTTGCTGTTCTGTTCATTCTTCCCACTCTTCCTCACTTACGCTCGGTGGTGCAACTTCCGTCATTGCGTGTATTCACTCGTTCTCTTGGTGAATTTCTGTCTATTCTATCTTTGATCCCCATTGCGGGTGGTAATATTTAGCCCAGCCCTTCAAATTCGGCTGTTCTTCCTTGTCCTGTTTTTCTCCCCCCTACCGCTTCCATGAGCGCAGCTTTGCTCCGGCGTCGTCCGGACACGTCTTCGCTGCGGAGAATCGGCCTTCTCTCTCGTCGTTACAATTCCTCAAAGCGCTCGGCACCAATTGGCTTGGTAACAGCCCGAGCCCGATCATCTCTTCTAAAGCCTACCGCTCAATGTCTGTCGTCGCGGACGTTCTTCAACCCCCGGTATTCGGCCCGGCATAAGTCCACCACAACAGAGGCCGCGGAGGTCGTGCAGAGATCCTCCATCCGCAATGTCTTGTTCAAGTCGTTCGCATACTGTGGTTTCTTCATTGTTATGAGCGGTGCGGCAGTGGTGGCTTTCTTCATCTACGATGCGACCACTTACCGCGAGAACTCCAGCGCCTCGGATGTCCCGGTCTCGGAATTGGCCCTGAATCCCCGACGGGGCGGCCCTAAGAATCTGCCCATTGCCGAGGTCTTAATCAGTGACAATGACTCGGACGACCGCTTGGCAAACCAAGACAAGCCTAGGTTGGTGGTGTTGGGAACGGGCTGGGGAAGCATTGCGCTGCTGAAGCACCTCAACCCGGGTGACTACCATGTTACGGTCGTGTCTCCCACCAATTATTTTTTGTTCACACCTATGCTACCGTCCGCAACGGTGGGTACGCTCGGTTTGAGGTCCCTCGTGGAGCCTGTCCGTCGCATTGTGCAGCGGATCAATGGCCATTTCCTGAAGGGACAGGCTGAAGATGTGGAGTTCTCTGAGAAGTTGGTCGAGGTGTCTCAGGTTGATGCCAGTGGCAAGGAGCAGAGGTTCTACCTTCCCTATGATAAACTGGTTATTGGAGTCGGTATGTTTCCGTTCGACTTGTTTTTGTGGTTGATTGCACAGACTGATGTTGACGTTCCCAATCCGCAGGCTGCGTGACCAACCCCCATGGTGTCAAGGGCCTCGAGAACTGTCACTTCCTGAAGACGATCGACGATGCTCGCAAGATCAAGAACCAAGTTCTGGAGAATATGGAACTGGCCTGTCTCCCGACTACTAGTGACGAAGAGCGCAGGCGTCTCTTGTCGTTCGTTGTCTGTGGTGGTGGCCCGACAGGCGTGGAGTTTGCTGCTGAACTGTTCGATCTTTTGAACGAGGATCTCCTCCACTCCTTCCCCAAGGTTTTGCGGAATGAGATCTCCGTGCACATTATTCAGAGCCGGAGCCATATCCTCAACACCTATGATGAGGCACTGTCCAAATACGCCGAGGTGAGTTCGTGCGCTCGACAATCGAACCATTGAACTTCTTGTGCTAATCACCTACATAGGCTCGCTTCGCTCGCGATTCCGTGGACATCCTGACCAATGCTCGAGTCAAGGAAGTTCGCGACGGCAAAGTCCTCTTCACCCAGACTGAAGATGGCAAGGTCGTGACCAAGGAGATCCCTATGGGCTTCTGTCTCTGGTCGACTGGTGTCTGTAAGTATCTCTTTAGTCCCTTGTCTACGAATGTTGGGCTAATGGCATAGCCCGCGCTCCTCTTTGCAAGCGGCTCTCTGACCGACTTGAATCCCAAAACAACAAACATGCCCTGGAAACTGACTCGCACCTACGCCTGATTGGGGCACCCTTGGGCGACGTCTACGCCATTGGCGACTGCAGCACGGTGCAGAACAATATTGCCGAGCACATTGTCTCCTTCCTCCGTACCATTGCGTGGGAGAAGGGCAAGGACCCGCAAAAGTTGCATCTGACCTTCCGCGAGTGGAAGGAGGTCGCCAGCCGCGTAAAGAAGCGCTTTCCCCAGGCCTCGAACCACCTCCGCCGTCTCGACAAACTCTTTGAACAATATGACAAGGATCACTCTGGAACTCTCGAATTCGGAGAACTGTCCGAGCTCCTGCACCAGATTGACAACAAGCTCACCTCTCTCCCGGCCACGGCGCAGCGCGCCAACCAGCAGGGCGAGTACCTCGGCCGGAAATTGACCAAGATCGCGGCTGCGTTGCCGGGCATGCAGGCCAACCAGATCGACTACGGAGATCTAGACGAGGCGGTATACAAGGCCTTCAAGTACAAGCATCTGGGCAGTTTGGCGTACATCAGTAATGCGGCGGTGTTTGACTTTGGAGGGCTGAACTTTAGCGGAGGCGTGTTGGCGATGTATCTGTGGCGGAGTGTGTACTTTGCTGAGAGTGTGAGCTTCCGGACCAGATGTATGCTGGCCATGGACTGGGCGAAGAGGGCGCTCTTTGGAAGAGATTTGATGAGTTTCTAGTTCTCTGTTGACTGTTATTGAGTTGATTTTCGACCCGTCCACCCATTGTTAGAGGGGAAAGGGTCGACATGCAGATAGATATCTATGGACGACGACCTTAATTCTTTAGCTTCGCAGTGGATATTAGTTATATGCAATGACTTAATGACCACTGATTCCATTATCTTATGACCAGGCTAAGGCCAAAGACAGGCCCAAACAGGCCCAAACAGGCCCAAACAGGCCCAAACCGTGTAGAAGTCTTGTTGTTGCGTTGTGGTGGTGAATGATGCTTAGAAAGAAATTCGACTGCGCCACGGGCTGAGGGGCTAACGTCATTATTCATTTACTCCTTCCCGACTGTTCCCTCTTCTTCTACTCTGTACTCATACTTTAATTGTTTAGCTTCTTCCTCTCTTTCTTTCCCACCCCCCCCCCCCCCCCCACTTCACCTCTTTTATCCTCCCCTTCTTATTATTTGTTGTTTATCCAGACCTCTGTGTACTTTTACTTTTGACTCGGTTACGCATTACCCATACTTTTCACAGGCACCCACAGGCACCCATTGTTTGCGCGGTTAATCTGAGCGTCCATCGCTCTTGCTCCTCCTACTGTTTGTCTGCCGTCATCATCGACACTTCCATGTATCTCTAGATCGAGCTTTCGCTGCCCTACCACCCTTCCAGGCTGTGCTTGCAACAAGTCAAAGGACGGACAGACGGACAGACGGACAGACAAATAAACCATGACTGAGGTTGCATGACTGGATTTTGGTTGCCAGAGAATCAAGCAAACACGAGCTAATTTCCAGATCGCTGTTCCCCGCCAAACGCCCGTTTGCTGGTCCGAATCTGGATTGCGACCACCGATAGATTGATCGGATCTCCTCTTGCTCCTCTCCTTCCCCTCTCCCCTGACTCCTCTCTCATTCTATCCCTCCTCGACGCTCACCCCTTCGCGCTTCATTTTGAGTCTCTTGGTTCGGCCTCGTCATCATGGCCGACGCCGCCGGAGACCGTGTCATGTGTCATGCTTGCGGCGGCGTCTGGCCGCGCAGCGAGCACGGCCTGATTTGTCCGCAATGCCAGTCGGACTTTACCGAGATTGTACGCTTATACCCGACTCATTCTCTCCCCATCTGACCTATCTACTACTCATACTACGTGTGCTGCATCAAATTCTAAATTAATCGGTCAACCGGTCGCAGGTCGAAATCCCTCCCGACCCCGATGAAGAACCGCCTTCTATTTCCGACCGTCCCGACTCTGCCTCTTCTCCCCGGTCTGCCGGCTCTCCGCGCAACCCATGGGCTGATCATAACCCCTGGGCTGCTCCCCAAGGGGATCAGGACCGTAACGAGGGTGAACAGCCCTGGGACTCCGGAAGTGGATTCCGGCATCGCACATACCGGTCCCCGGACGGTCGCTTCACTTTCTCCACAACCACCTACACGCATGGCTTTGGCGGGCAGTCCGGGCAGTCCCCGTCCACGCGGAGCACTTCGAACCTCGATCCGATGATGATGGTGCAGAATATGGACAACATCTTCCGGGGCTTGACCAGCAACTACCAACAACGCGAGCGTTCGGCCTCTGTGTCCAGCTCGGGGCAAGCCTCTAGCCAACCTCGGGGACAGGGACAACGTCTGGGCTCCTTTGAATTCAATATTGAAACCGGGAACTCCGCAACGTCCAGCCAGGATGGTGGCTTACATCCTCGAGACGCGGATGGTCCGCAGCCGATTAACAATCCGCTACGGACCTTGAGTGAGTAAGTTGACACTGCGTTCCAGTCAAAAAGGGAAAGGAGTGCGTGGCAGAGTGCTGACTTGACTGCAGTATCCTTGAGTTGTTTCGTGCAGATTTGGGTGCCAACGCCCAAGCGGCTGGAACTGGCGGCGCACGGGTGGTGACAGGGACTAACCCGCTGGCGATGCTGTCGTCGCTGTTGAGTTTCGATCGCCTTGGCGACGCGGTCTATTCACAAGAGGAGCTAGACAGGGTCATCTCTCAGCTGATTGATCAGACTGCCAACCGTGGCGCACCTCCTCCAGCTCCTGCCAATGCTATTCGATCCTTGCCGAAGAAGAAGGTTGACACGGAAATGTTGGGCCATGAAGGCCGAGCTGAATGTTCGATTTGCATGGATGCTGTGGAGCTCGGAGCCGAAGTGACGGTGCTTCCTTGCAAGCATTGGTTTCATTATAACTGCATCGAGCTTTGGTTGAACCAACATAACACTTGTCCTCATTGCCGACGGGGTATAGATTCCCCTCAGTGAGTCATCCGCATTATCTGGTGGTTTTTGAACTGGTGCTAATAGTGTGTGTGTATAGGACTCAAGGAACAAGCGATAACCCGGTGGTAATTGCCGATAGTCCTGAGCCTGTTTCGCGACGCACAAGCAGTGCCGAGGCCAACCCCGGTAGATCGATACAGCCGCCCCCAGGCGCTTGGCCTGAACAATCACCCTCCTCGTGGAGCTCGCGGTCATTCTCATCTTGGTCAGCTGCGTCGCCTGGTCCTAGCTCTGAGGCGCCAGCTCAACGACAGGAGCAGGGACGAGACCAGGGACGAGACCAGGGGCAAGGTCAGGGACATGATCAAGGACATGGTCAGGGCGAAAGCCAGGACCGGAACAATGGACAGGAACAACGACGAGATAGCCGTGGTGAGGGATCTAGCACCGGCTCCGGGTTTACGGGCTGGGTGCGTAACCGATTGGGAGGAGGGGGCAGCAGCAGCTGACTTGGAGAGGAGGGACTTTTGTATAGACTTTGGACGACGACAGCAGCTGGTCAGGAGATTGGGATCCGATGCGACGACTAGCTTTGTTACGTAGTAACGACCTTACCTTGCTTGGCATTGGCATTGGCATTGGCATATTGAGTGCGTAGCCTGTTGCTTCCTTGCTGCCTGATGGATTAATGGCTACTGATTGACAGTCAGTCGATTTGGTTGGTGACTGTTGACTGTTGACTGATGACTGTTGACTAGTGAGTTGACTAATAGTGCGATAAGATTGATTGATTGATCCACTTTCCATCTTATCACTCGCTTCCTTCTCCTTCCCTCGCTCCACCCCACCTTTTAGTCTACTTTGGTTTACTTTGACAGCTGTTGCTTTCCATTTCCTGGTCTTCCACATCTTGCTATATACCTTGCTCTCTTCCTCGTGCCTCATTTCACTTTCATCTTCAGTTCCAATTCCAATATGAAGACTCTCTTCAGGAATGCCACTATTATACCGGGAGTCAATCCTCCCCCCGCAGATTCTCCCACGTGTATGATCATCGAGGATGACCGCATTGTTTACGTCGGCACCGAGACCGATCTTCCCACTGACCCGGTGGATCATGAGGTCGATTTGAATGGCAAGAAAGTCCTACCTGGATTCATCGACGGGTAAAGATCCAAATTCCCAGATTTCCAGATCCCCATAGCCTCAAGCTCAGATCCAGACCCACAGACACATGCACCTGCTGCTGTTCGGCGCCTCTCTCTCCAAGATCGATCTCAGCGACTGCAAGAACCTGGCCGACATCCGCGCGACGATCGCGCGCGCCGCGGCCGAGAACCCCACGGCGGAGCGGCTCTTCTGCCGCGGCTGGATGCACAGCATGACGGACGGCCAGGCGCTGGCCAGCATGATCGACGACCTGGACCCGCGGCCGATCTTCATCGACTCGAAGGACCTGCACTTCGCCTGGCTGAACACGCCCGCGCTGGAGGAGCTGCAGGTGGCCGGCCTCCCGGACCCGGAGGGAGGCACCATCGCCCGCGACGCGACGACGGGCCTCCCGAGCGGCCTGCTGGGCGAAGCGGCGGCGGTGACCTACGTGTGGCCGCACGTGGCGCGCGTGTCGACGGCCGAGGAGAAGCTGGGCTACATCCGCCAGGCGGTGCGGGCCTACAACGCGGCGGGCTACACGGGGATGATCGAGATGGCGACGGACGAGAACGTGTGGGCGACGATGCAGCAGCTGCGGGCGCGCGAGCCCGTCCCCATCCGCCTGGCGGCGCACTGGATCATCACCCCGTCGCCGGACGAGGCCGTCGTGCTGCGCCAGGTCGACCGCGCCATCGCCCTGCACCGCGAGTACAACCGCACCACGTCGCCGGACTTCCGCATCGCCGGCATCAAGATCATCTGCGACGGCGTCGTCGACGCCTGCACCGCCGCCCTCCTCGAGCCCTACGCCAGCACCGGCACCACCTGCGGCCCGCTCTGGGATCCCACGCTGCTGGCCAAGGTTGTCGCCAAAGCCGACGCCGCCGGCCTCCAGTGCGCCCTGCACGCCATCGGCGACCAGACCGTCCGGCTGGCCATCGACACGCTGGAAGCCTGCACCAGCACCAGCACCAGCAACCGCGGCAGTGGCAGTGGCAGCAAGCGCCACCGAATCGAACACCTCGAACTCACCCACCCTGCCGACAGCGCGCGCCTCGCCCACCTCGGCATCACCGCCTCCATCCAACCCGTGCACGCCGACCCGGCCATCCTGCGCGCCTGGCCCCGCCTCCTCGGCGAAGCCCGCTGCCGCCGCGCCTTCGCCTACGCCGAGTTCCTCCGCCACGGCGCCCCCCTCGCCATCGGCACCGACTCCCCCACCGCCCCGCACGCCCCCCTCCGCAACCTCTACACCGCCACCACCCGCCGCTCCGCCCGCGACCCCGCCCTGGACCTCGTCTTCAACCCCGCCTTCGCCCTGCCGCTGCTCGAGGCCGTCGTCGCTGCCACCGCCGGCTCGGCGTACTCGTGTTTCGACGAGGATCGCACCGGCACGTTGGCCGCCGGTAAGATGGCGGATTTTGTGGTCTTGGATATGGCCTGGGAGGCGGAGGAATTGTTGGAGGCCGAGGTGCTGGAGACTTGGTTTGCCGGGAGGAGGGTTTTTGAACGGTGAGTGGAGTGGGGCGTTAGGGGTTAGGGGTTAGCGGTCGGATATGGGCTGGATATGCTTTGGCTTGTATTGTAAGTTGATCGGGGTTTGGGGAGGGGATATGGTTCTGTGTCTTCGGGTGTGCGGTGGGGGGTGTTTGGGGAATAGGATAGGAGGGTACAGTACCCAGGATACAGTTTCAGTGCTCTCTTGGGTGTCGGGTATTATGTGTGTATAGTATGGTTTGTGGAGGGAGGGGGGGGGGGGGGGGGGGGGGGTATATCCTATGGTGTGTCGAATGACCTGCAGGGTTCAAGCAAGTGAAAACTTGTTCAATTCCTGTTGGTACTGTACAGAACATGGACTGGGATAGAGAGAGGCGCAGAGTACACCACCGGCAGATCGGACTGCGTACTATATACTGTAGACATGCACATATTTGATGAGACGAGCATACTGCTATCCCGCTCCCTGAATCTGCAGCATGTCTACGGCACTGCGTCGCTGACAACTACAGTCACTTCGGCTAGGTAAACCCTATATGCTTTCAACTCTAGTGCCTCAGGAACAAGAAATAAACACGATGCTCTCTCCATTGTGTTTCATTGTGTATAAAAGAGTCAAGGTATATCCTGAATTCTACTCAAAAAAATAACAAATGCACCGAACCGAACTTAAGTCTTTTCCCCGAGAAGCTTAACTTTTTCTTTCTGCCACGAAATCTAAAATCTCAAGTCCCATCCGATCTTAGGACCCAACCGCGGCAACTCATCCGCCACACTCTGCACATCCTTGTCACCTCGGCCGCTGAGGTTGAGGACGATGTTCTCGCCCTTCTGCATGGTCTTGGCCAGCTCCATCGCGCCGAAGACGGCGTGCGACGACTCCAGCGCCGGAATGATACCCTCGTGCTGGGCGAGCGCCCGGAAGCCCGTCAGGGCCTCGGCGTCGGTGGCGGCCACGAACTTGGCGCGGTCGCTGTCCTTCCAGTTGCTGAGCTCGGGGCCGACACCTGGGTAGTCCAAACCGGCGGAGATCGAGTGGGTCTCGGAGATCTGGCCGTGCTTGTCCTGGAGGACGTAGGTGCGGACGCCGTGGAAGACACCCTTGCTGCCGCCGGAGAGGGTGGCCGAGTGGCGGTCCGTGTCCACGCCGTCACCGCCGGCTTCGACGCCCAGCAGCTTGACCGAGGGGTCGTTGGAGAAGGGGTAAAACATACCCACGGCGTTACTGCCACCACCGACGCAGGCGACGACCGCGTCGGGCAGCTTGCCGATGAGCTCCTTCATCTGCTGCTTGGTCTCGTCGCCGATAACCGACTGGAAGGTGCGCACGATCGTGGGGAAGGGGTGGGGGCCGATGGCCGAGCCGATGATGTAATGCGTCGTGTCCAGATCGACGACCCAGGCGCGCAGGGCTTCGTTGACCGCGTCACGGAGGGTGCGGCTGCCGGCGTCGACGGCCACAACGGACGCGCCCAGCAGTCTCATCCGGAACACGTTGAGCGCCTGGCGCCGCACATCCTCGGCACCCATGTAGACCACGCACTGCATGCCGAACTTGGCGCAGACCGTCGCGGTCGCCACGCCGTGCTGACCGGCACCGGTCTCAGCGATGATCTTGGTCTTGCCGAGGCGGCGGGCAAGGAGAATCTGGCCCAGGGCGTTGTTGATCTTGTGGCTACCGGTGTGGTTGAGATCCTCACGCTTCAGCCAGATGTTGGCGCCACCGCAGTGCTCGGTGAGGCGGTTGGCCAGGTGAAGGCTGCTGGGGCGGCCCATGTAGGGGTAGTACGACCGGAACTCCTCCCAGAACTTGGGGTCGTTGCGGGCGATCTCGAAGCCGCGCTCCAACTCGGCCAAGCAGTCCATGAGAGACTCAGGAACATACTGACCGCCGAACTCACCGAAACGAGAGGGGATGGCGGACGGGTCCCCGCTGCCGTTGAGGGCGTCAATCTGGTCGACCAGGCCGGGGCCATCGGGTGTGTCATCGTTGGTGATGACGTCGGTGGGCTGCGAAAGCGCCGGAGGATCCTCCTTCAAGACAGGCTCCAAGACGTGGACCGACCCGGAAACCTGACCTTGAGCATCGCGCTCAAGTCTGCGACCAGTGACGCTGGTCAGGTACTCTTGGGCATGCTTAGCCGCCTGGCCGGCAGGCGCGTCACCCAAGACGGTGATAATCTGGCTTCCGATCACAACACCCTCCGAGATATTCTGCACGGAAAGGAAGTGCTCGCGGGTGCTGACTCCGAATCCGAGCGCGGTGGGCACATTGCCGGACCAAGTGTGGACACGAGACAGGAGATCGGGCAAGTTCGTGCTGAGGGATCCGGTAGCACCGGTGACACCCATGCGGGAAACGACGTAGATGAAGGAATCTGCGATCTTGCAGAGGAGCTTCATACGAGACTCGGAGGTGGCGGGGGCGATGAGGGGGACGTAGGACAAGCTAACGAAGCAGGGGACTATCAGTATGCGTGGGGAAAAAAAAAGAATAAGGCACACCAGTGCAGGACTTCTTACCCATAGCTAGTGCAGAAGTCACGGAAGCGGACGGCCTCCTCTGGGGGCAGATCGACCATGATGAAACCGTTGACCCCAGCGGCCTTGCAGTCCTGGAGCATGCGCTCTTCACCGTACTGCATAAGGGGGTTGTAGTAACCCATCAACAGGACGGGGGCGCGAAGGCCTTTACTTCTGGCGGAACGAATGGTGTCCAACACCCAGGGAATCGTGACACCGTTGGCCAATGCCTGAGTGTTGGCCTTCTGGATGGTCGGGCCGTCTGCGATCGGATCGGTGAAGGGGACGCCCATCTCAATGATGTCTGTGATTGACGCAATGCAAACAATGGTCAGCGGTCCGCAATCGGAGCCAACGGCAAGCGGGGAGCATCAAGCTCTTACCAGCACCACCATTTTCAAGACCCAACAGGATATCAACAGTCTCTTCGATGGTAGGATATCCAGCGGTGAAGTAGGCTACCAAAGCAGCACGCTTCTCCTGCTTGGCGCGAGCGAACGCGTTCTTGATTCCATCCATGGTGTGGGTGTGGTGAGGTGGAGGGGCAAAACGCAAAACGCGGAGAGGGACGGAGGATGGGGGAAGAACGAGTGGCGGTTTGAGGGACCCGGGGAAAAAGGAAGGGTTTAAGGATAGGGTCAGGAGGACAGAGTGAACGGCCCACAATTGAAAGGGGTTCGATTAGGGGAGAGAAAGCAGGCAGGCAGCACGGCCTCGAATGTAAATTTGGAGGGGGAGGGGGAACTTGGAAGGGGCAGGATTGAGTCACTGTCGGCGAGTAAATCAAATCGATCTCCCTCGATTAATTGTCCCGCCAGGTCAGGTGATGTGGCGATAAGATAACACTCGGGTATTGCCACGGTATGGGGCTGGTATGGTATGGTACGCATAGTTACATGTATTACAGGCTCTCTCTCTCTCTCTCTCTCTCTCGCGCGCGCGCGCACGCTATCTTAGCCCATTTCAAGGGATATATAGAATCATTCAGTGATAAGGAAAGCAACAATGAATGCTGTAGAAAAAGTATGCTACAATAATGATAGCTTTAGTGACAATAAGACTCAACCCTCACACCTTAGGTACGTTGATAACGGAACTCTAAAAACTTCTAAGTCATTTCAGGTGCTGGATGACCCCAGAACAGAAGAGCCAAGTAAGACAGAGAGGAAAAGAAAGACGGCAGACAAAAATTACAATGATGAATATTCACACAGACGCCAAAAGCTATGCATATATACTCAGCCTAACCCCATGTGTTGCCCCAGTCCGGGAGACAGCACAAGCCAGGCCAAACAACCATCAAGAAATAAAACCACAGAACACAACCAATTCCACACTTTTTATCCTTCGCCAGTCCGGGGGTTCTGTTACATCAATTCCAAACATTTTTCATCCCAACCCCTGCATAATGAAAGGAATGACAGTGGCGCCATGCTATGCCAGATAGTTGTACAACTCAGAAAGGAGTGAAATCCCAATGCCCAGACTGAATGCAATGTGAAATGAGGAAGAACAAAAGCAGAAGACACCAGATCGTCTATCACGCATAGATCAACAGAAAGATGAAAGGGGGGGGCATCAAGACATTAAGATACTCTAAAGGAGGGACATCAGATCATGGACAGTGATCGTAAGTGAAGTGAGGATCCAAACAAGAGGCATATCCGTAAATCCCAATCCAGGGGTCATGCGCCGGGATTCAACTAAAGGAACGACAAGAAGAGGAAGGAAATCAAAGAATAAATGATAAGAGGAAAACATTGCAGGGAAATAAAATGGTATATCAAGTCCGACTCGAGAAAGAAACGCCATTCAATGCAAATCACAGCCTCTAGAGGTACTGCAGCAGGCAGCAACTCAATGCCCGGGGGGACCTGAGACAGAATAAGGCATATAACTGTAGACGGGCGTGCTGCTCGGAGCTCCACTGGCGAGTGGAGGGCTGAGCATGGAATTCATCTCCCAGGCCCGGGTGCTCGGTGCAGAGACGCCGACCTGGCTCGGCTGTTGACAAGCTGCAGAGTAATAGCTGGGGGCAGTGATGGAGTGGTAGGACTGGCTTATAGCAGGCAGACCATGTCGGATCTCAGAAGGGCCGGTCATTGAAGGGTCTCCATGGTCGGGAGGGGCGGAATATGCAGGAGCAGCCAGTGGAGGTCCATATGCGCTGGGAGCAGCGGTATCGGAAACAGATTGAGGAGATGGGGCAGTGTGAGGTTCCGTGCCGGAGTCTGAGGCAGCCCGGGTGCTCGCATAGGTTGAGCTGATCGGGGTTGTTAATGCTCCGGCGGTCGAAGAATAACTCGCCGACTAGAGATTGGTCTGTTAGCACGCCACATACACATGCACACGCACGCACAAGCATCTTAGACATCAATCACAGAAACTAATGGAGCTTACATATTTGCCAATGATCTTCTTAAGGGCAGGAGTCAGAATCTTCCATGGAAAGACCTTCACATCTTTCTCGATGTTTCTGGGCTTGGGCGCCGGAAACCCCATGATGACCT